ACATGGGAAATGCCCAGGGAAAAAGGAGGAACTCAAAGAGATGTCTTTAGAATTCAGGATTAAAAACCATTTTAATAAGGAAAGGGGTGGGATGATATAGGCCTCTAAGGGGAAAATAAATAATTGTTAGGAAAGGTGAATGGGAAGAATAGATATGATAGTCTGTGAGGAAGTTTGTCTGGGTGTGACATCTGCTTGTAGCCTCTCCTGTGATGAGTCAATCCTCCCTGATTGATGAAACTTGCTGGGGGGGCATTTATGATAATTAAGTTCCTTTTGAAGGCTCTGTCTTTAGGCAAATAAGTGGAGTTCAGAAAAGCCTTTCCCTGCGTTTGCTGTTTTTTAAGTAGTGAGAGAGAGAGAGAGAGAGAGAGAGGGGAGAGGGGGAGAGGGGAGAGGGGAGAGGGGAGGAGAGACTGTTTTACAGACTACTCAACTTTGATGTTGGGAAAGCAGCCATAGATAATATGTAAAAGAATGAACATGGCTATGTTCCAATAAAACTTTACTTATGGACCGTGAGTTTTAAATTTCATGCAATTTTCATGTTTCATAAAATAGTTTTCTTTTGATTTTTAGCCATTTAAAAGTATAAAATCCATTTTTAGTTTGCAGGCCATATAAACATAAATGGTGAACTGGATTTGTCAACCCCTGTTCTACCTGATTTTTTCTATTTCAGAAAGACATACTCAAGTTCAAGGCTTCATTATGATTGTGGATTCATTTGTGTCTCCATTTATTTTTAATAGTTTTTCTTTCTATTTAATAGTTTTTCTTAAATATATAAACATTTATGATTATTTTATCTTCTTGGTGACTTTTACCTTTTACCAATATAAAACTTTCTTATTTTCATTTAATGATTTTGGGGGGAAGGGGGGAATTTTATGATATCCAAGAATGATATTGCCACTCATGCTTCTATTTTCATATTAGCCAGTATTGTGCAAGGGTGCAGTGGCAAATCATAACTCCTGATCCAGAAGAAAACATTAACTTTTACATTGGGCTGGATTTTCAATAACTTAGTGTGACAGTTTTAAGGCAGTTGCACTTGGCAGCCCTCCTTTCTCCACTTGTTAATGTTCCAAATCAATGATAGTGCTATCTAGAAGTGTGAAGTGTGCACTTATGTGTACTCATGGTTCCTATTGTGTCACTGTCACAGGAAAAAGGCTTTTGTCCCCTAGCTGCTTTTGGGTACAATATTGGAACCTAATAGATAATTGATACGAATAAGATTCTATAAGTTTTTTTCAGCTTACCAAGTGTGAGAAGACAATCTGTTTTGCAAATAAAGGGGAGGAACATTAAATTGCTGAAACATTAAATTGGTAGTTTTTGAAGAATAACCTCTGTGATACTGTGCAATGAGGAAGAACCAATTTGAACATAATCTAATTCCTTTCTCACTCTTCAAACCTTGTGTTAGAACTTACAAAAGATAAATAGTTCCAGGGTAGGTAACTGATTTCTTCTGTGTACACAAAAGAATCCTGTGCTATTTCTATGAGATTCTTGTTTAGCCTTGTCAAGACTGGATTCTGGACTGGTGTAAATTTTAATAAAAATAAATTTTCATCAATTGGTTTTTTTCTATATGTTTTTAGTAGTGTAGCATTATTTATATTGTATACCAAGTCATAAAGGTACAGTGGCTACCTTGCTATTTGAGACTTCACAATATAAATTTTTAAAAAAAATCTTGCTAGGTATTTCAAATTGCATTCTATAACCTCATTTAATATACGTAAACTATGGATTCATTATAAAAGCCTTAGAAGGTAAAATGTCTCCATAATTGTTTTTAGTGATAGGCAGGTATAAACAGGTGTTTAAAATTACTTTCAGGTCTACCTGCAGCATTTGGGTTTTATTAGGTTTCCTTCTCCGTTTTAACGTACTTTTATGAATCAGGGTGAAGTGTAGGAACGGAGGCTGTCATGCTGCTGATTTGTAATTCTTTGTATATTGCTTCTTAATTACAAAGAAAGGGTTCCTTTTTCATTAGTCCTGTTTGCTCAGTTTCGTAGGTTAATTTTTATTTTGTTTTCTAAAGGGTTTAGATAAAAGGAGCTCAAATCAGAAGAATAAATTCTCATGGTTGTTTTACGTATATTCATGGAAGTATTTGGCAAGTCCTTTAGTAATCCATCCTGCCAGTGGCTCAAGTGTTACAAACCAAGTAGAATTGTCATTTGCTTTCCTCTTGCAGATCTACTTTTTCCTTCAGTTTACTCCCTCTCTGGATGCCAAGATGTGTTACACAACAAGAAAAGACTTTTCCTTGGGAAGTTGTCAACCACAGAAAATTTTTTAGCAGATAACTTATGAAGAGTAGCATAGTTAATGTCTTCTTGGGAAGATCATTGTTTTTTGCATAGGCACTTGTCTTACTGAATAGGCACAAGATGGATAAGGCAAAGCATAGCTTCAGATATTATGGTATAGGTCATTTCTGATGTGTGGTAATCAGAAACAGAGGAGCCTTTTTTGATCTTTGGAAGAGGAGACCACAGATCCTTAAGCTAGCTACCTTAGAAGTGTTTTGTTAGGCAAGATAACAATATACAAAAACCAATATTTAAAATATTTTCAACGGGTATCAGGGTATTAATATATAACTCAGTGTATAAGTAAAGTATATATTGACATTTAGTCTCCAAATAAATATTTAGTATTATAAATTACAGCACAAATTTTACACTAAAGCATTCTGATAATTTCTAAATCTTAGCTTGAATTTTGGAAGTATTGATATCTTTTGTTTTGCTTAGCTTTTACTGGTTTTAATTCCTGTTTGAGCTACAGTTTGACAAAATAAATTTCATGAAATTATTTACCTGTTAAACTGATAGTCATTAACTAACATTGAATTCAATAAATAGAGACTTTCTCTTAATATCAACAACATTATTTATGGTGCTGAATATTCTCATAGCTTCTGAGAGCACTCAGTTTCAAATTTTTTCCCAGCCCTTGTGATGATAGGAAATTTGGATACCTTCTTGTTAATAAGGCCGTTAGCAATAACAGTGTGGCTGTGTGGTTCCTAGGAGCACATGCTCTTTTGTTGGGCTGCCAGGCTTTGAATTCCAGTTCTGTAAACTAAATGTAAGCTGGTAGGTAGTATTGAGATGGAGAATTTGGGGAGAGGAGCTGACTAATGCAGGAACCAACCAATCAGAAAGAATACCATTTATGGATGGAACAGGATCCTAACAGGGCCCCTTTTTATGCCAGGAAATAACTCTTTATTTGTTGGATGATGGAGAGAATTCTGAGTAGTAGCCTGGGTAGTGGAGAGGACATTCAGGAGGCTTGGGCAGCAGCTAGTTACCAATCACAGTCAAGTACTTCAGTATTGTAACAACTAACATATCCTTATTGGTACATACTGGCTGAATATCAGCCTGGGTTATATGTTGGGCAAGGGAAAGAATGAAATTCTGAGACAGGATATCTGATTAACCTGCCTCTGTTACACAATGTATCACTTATACTGCAAATACCTGCCCTTCTAATAGTTATGTAACCTGTTATCACCTAGCTTCTTTTCATCTTAGTCTGTTCATCTTGTCCTGTCTTGCTCCTCTTTGAAACATGCCATCCTAGTATTACTTGACAATCATCTTAATTTAAAGGGTTAATCTAGGACTAGTTGATGTCACATAATTAGTGGTTTATTCAGAGCTAGGTTTTGTCAGTAGCATCTTTGGAAAACAAAGGATAGAAATACTGCTGCACATTTAATTCTCCTAAAGTTGCTTTGTGGTGTTTCTATAGTGTCATTTATAGATTGTCAGGGAATTTATGTTCCTATTTGATTTACCAGTGTCATTAGTTTCCTAGAGCTGTCATAACAAAGAACACAAACTGGGTAGCTTAAATAACAGAAATTGTCTCACAGTTTTGGAGCCTGGAAGTCTTAAATCAAGGTGTCAGCAGAAGTTGGGTCCTTGTGAGGACTGTGAAGAAGATTCTGCTCCGGGCCGAGTTTCTATGGTTTTCTGGCAATCTTCTGTGTTCCTTGGCTTGTAGATGGCATCACTCTAATCTCTGCTTTCATTTTCACATGGTGTTCTCTCGGTCTCTTTCCATGGTCTTCCCTCTGTGAATGTCTGTTTTCAGCTTTCCCCTTTTCCTGGGACACCAGTCATGTTGCATTAGTGCCCACCCTAATGGCCTCATCTTAACTTGACTCTATATCTGTAAAGACCCTCTTTCCAAATAAGGTTACACTGAGGTACTGGGGATTAGGACTTCAACATATCTTTTTGAGGGGACACAGTTCAACCCATAACACAAATATTAAAGTTTGTTTTTGTTTCAGTGATAGAAATTTGAGGATATCTATCATATTGGTTTTTATTGTTGATTTGTTTTAAATATTTGAAGTACTTCTTAAATTCTAAGCAGATTTTTTTCTAAATGGTACAGTTTACCCTGGAGACCAGTAATCGTCTAGATTATCTGCTGAATCATATTTTCTATGGGTGCATTTAATACTTTGTAAAAATATTTTAACTTTTGAAATTTTAATGTAATTAAATGATGATGTGGTGAATGACAGTTTGAGGTCTGAATGCTACTGATACTGTGTTTCCTTGTAGAAACCCTTCCAGTAATGTTTGTCTAGTCTAGCCATGGTACATTATTTTATTGTACTCTTTCCTTAGGAAATGATTAATCTCATATTTCCAGAAAGCTCCCATAATATGAGAACAAGATCTTATATATAGTATTATAATAGGCAGAATAAATGTTCTATTGTCATTGATCCTTCATTAGATTTGTACATTTACTTTGAAACTTCCTTGAAAATTTTCAATTTATGTTGTTTTCACAAATGTGATTTCAAATAATCTTTTTAAAGAATCAAAGGGAGAGTTCTCATTTTTTTAGTGAAAATCATTGGGAAAATAATATATTAGATGATATATAAATATTTCCTTTAGACACTTTCAGTATACAATAATATAAACATATTTGTGCAGGTTTTGACTGGATCGTCTCGTCAAAGTTATTCACCTTCTGGCTATCAGGATTTCACGAAGTGGGAATCAATGCTGAAAATAAAAGAAGGACTACTAAGGCAGAAAGAAATTGTAATTGACCGGTGAGTCTATTTTTTAATTACTAAATATTTCAGGCATACAGAAATATAGGTTAAAAAAAATACCTTTGTATCCACTACGTAGAGTTTTAAAAAATAGAACCTTACAAATACATTGATGTCTTACGTCTACCCTTCCCCATCCCAGTCCCTTTAAGAACCACTATCAAAACTGAGGGTCAGTTGGTTGGTCTGTCTGTCTGTCTGTCTGTCTCTTCTACCATCCTCCCATTTACATGAGAGTAAGGCATTATTTGGAAACTCTTCTTCATCTTCTTTGTACAGGTAGCAAGTTAGATGCAATGCTAATGAGCTGTCAAAAAGCTTCAAGATAGTGTCTTTGTATTTTACACTTGGGAACTATCAAATTGGAAGGCTACTTTAATTTCCTTTAACTAATGCATGTTAGATATGAAGGCACAGAAACAATGAAAATCATGAATCTTTAAAATTAAATGAGTTACAGATAAGAATTTTGGAAATTTGTGGGGACATTCTAAAAATTTTGCATGTTTGAATACCAAAGCTCTGAAAAAAAATGCTGTTATACTTAACAGTCTCCTGATTATTTTGAATAATAAATCTTAATATTACTTAATTATATTATCTATAATCTATCTTGGTTCTACATCATTTATGTATACTTTTGAGATAATTAAACATGTTGTGTATCACGATAATTGAGAAATAGTTTGAGGAGGTATTTTTATTTCTTAATCAATGATGGTTACCACTTATTTTCATGTGCTTATATGGGATAAAGTAGACATTTTAGCCTTACGATTAAACCAAATTCAAACATTTAAATATACTTCATAGTTGAAATTTCAAAAGATTTTGCTTAGAAATTTGCCAGTATTAAGCAAGACCTACTGGAATATAAACTAGAACACTGACTTCTGGACTTTCTTATTCTCTGCTATGTTCTCTACCGTCTTGAACAGAGCCTGGTACATAGTATTTGCTTAGTGCTTGATACTTTTTAAAGTAATGACGATCATAGTAGATAGTTTCAATTGACTTTATGAGAAAGCTATTTGAAAATATTTGATATTTGTAATACAAGTGAATTTTATATATGAATAATTAGAGACCCAGCTGGATTTTATTTTGAACACTTATAATTTAATTCATTGTACGTTCTTGAAATTAATACTTTTTAATTTTATTTTTTATAAAATTTGTTTTTCTGTTATAGTTGATATACAATGTTATATTAGTTTCAGGTGTACAACATAGTGATTGTATGTTTATATACCTTATAAAGTGATTACCCTGATAAGTCTAGTACCCATCTGGCACCTTTTTTTAAACAGACCAAAATTTAGACTTTTATTTATATGGATGTACTCTCCCTCAAACAATCAAAATCAATTGACTTTTATTAGTTTCTTGAATACCATTATAATTACCATTTTATTAAGTGTAAGTTAATAAGTGCCTTAGTCCATTTGGGCTGCTATAACAAAATACCATAGTCTGCATGGCTTATAAACAACAGAATTTTATTTTTCCTAGCTCTGGAGTCTGGAAAGTCCAAGGTAAGGCATTGGCAGATTCAGTGTCTGGTGAGAGCCAACCTCGTGGTTCATAGAGGGCCATCTACCTGTAACCTTTCATGGTGAAAGGGGCAAAGGAGCTCTCAGGGGAGGGGGGGAGCATCTTTTTATTTATTTATTTTTTTATTGCCAAAATAAAATTTTATTTTGAAAGTCATTTGAAAGACACTGAGTAAGGAAGGATGCTTAAGACACAACAGATGTAGAATCCTATTCATATTCTGTCCAATCCCCACCAGTGGTCTCTGTCATGCCAAAAAGTTGCTTTCTTTGGTAATTCCTATTTTTAGCTTCCTAGAGAAGAGATCTTTTCCCATAAGCCATCTTCATTTTTTTAATTTAAAAAAATTTTTTAAATTTCTTTCAATTTTTTTTGTAGAGTAAAGCTTTATTTCTAGGAAACAGCGTGTTTGTTGGAGATGGGTAGTTTTTTTAAAATCATTGAGGTAGATTTAATACGTTCAACAAAGTGTGGGTGGGGGCCTCTGCCAGAAGTGGAGTGGAAAGTTTCTCTAGTTTTCCTTATCATCTCGATGCAACCAGTAATCCCCATGTGGAAATGGCATCCAGGAATATGGTCCTGTATGGAGTTGTTCTGTCTTTGCATCGTAAATACTAATCATTGGTCCTCCTGTTAAAGGCCGAGCAGCATGCAGCTCCTCCTCTGGGCCTCCTTGGTCTTGGAAGGAGGCTCTGTAAGTCTCGGCAGTTTTAATGTTGACAGCAATGCCATAAATTATCGGAAAGTGGTTTTCATTTTCTTTCCAGTCATTTATTCTGTGACGTATAATGTCACTCACTAAGGGAATGTCATCTTGTCTGTCAAATTCACTAAGAAGTTGATGAGTAAGTTTTTGTGACAACTGCCTGTCGTTGCTGAAGCTGCCCATGAGGTACTCTTCCAGCCTTCCACATTGAGCAAGGTCAGAAAAGGATTTTATGGAGTTCAAGGTCTAGGGGATCTCAGCTTTGGTGTTGGCTCCATCACAATGTGTCAAGCAGGTAGCCCCATTACCTGTGTGCCTCAGGTCCACAATGTGACTAGTGGTGGCATCATCAGACGCAGAATGGAGATGGAGCCATCCTTTGGGGAGGTCACTGCAAGCTCTCTTGGCTGAACATACAGAAGGTCCTGGGGTCCCACTTGTTGAACACACCAACCTCTGAGAAGTCTGACTCTTTCATCCAGAAATGGTGGGCTCCCTGGAGGACTGCGGCAGCCACACTCGCTTCCCATTAACCAGCAGAGGTGGCCACTACGGGATACTCGGCGCCCCCTGGGGGTATCTTTTATAAGGACTCTTAATTGCATATATAAGGATCCTGCCCTCATGACCTAATCGCCTCCCAAAGGCGCCTACCTCCTTATAACACCACATTGGGCATTAGGATTTAATATATGAATTTTGGGGAGACAAATTCAGTCTTTGGCAGTAGTAAATGCAGATAATTATTGACATAATCTATTAAAATATACATTCTTCAATTTTGCATATTGTAGAATGATAAGGAAAACCAATGATCCCCAGTAAATTTAATTAAAAAAATAATAATTCAGCCATTCAAGGTGCTCAGTTTCTTATTATGAATTTTAAGATCTAATTTTAAGATCGATAATACTTCTAACTCTTATGTCAAATTATTAGAATACTGAAAAGTTTAGCTTTTAACTATCTCTTAGAAAAGTATATTTTTTATAATGTGACCTAAATTTATGTTTTGCAGGCAGAAGCAACAAATTACCCACCTACACGAGAGGATAAGGGATAATGAATTACGGGCACAACATGCCATATTAGGACACTATGTAAATTGTGAAGATTCTTATATGGCTAGTTTGCAGGTAAGATTATAGAAGATTTCGCAGTTGTTTTATTAGTAAAGCATGTGTTAATTTTATACTTAGTTTGTAAGATTAGGATGTTTTTTGAATTAATAACATTCACATGGTTCATGTTTATATGTGTAGTAAAAGATATCCAAGTACTGTCTTTCATCTGTCCAGTTCACACGCCTCAAACATACATACAGAAACTACTGTTAGCAGTTTCTAGTATATCCTTCCAGAGTTGATATATATCACCAGCAGATATAAATGTATTTTATCTCCCTACTTTCACAGAAAGCATCAAAATGCATACATTATCTGGCACCTTGTTTTTTTTCCTTTATATTATATAAAATTATATAAAATACAATGATTATTTTCATATCATTACATAGACAACCTCCCTTTCTTTTGTTTTTACAACTGCATGATTTCTCATTTTATGGAGAGAGCATAATTTTTTTCAACCTGTTCTTATCCAAATTTGGGTAGTTTTCTGGTTTGGGTCTATATAAGTGTGAAGAATAACCTTTTTTAAAAATTCTTTTTCTCATATGCAAGTATTTTTATAGTGAAATTTCTAGGTGTTGTATGAGTTGGTGATTTTTATTGATATTGTCAAATTGCTGTCCAGGAGAGCTTCTTCTAATTTTTAGCTCCTACCAGCAGTGTATAAGACTCCCCACTCCCAACTCAGCCATGTTAGCTGAATGTGTTATCAAACTTTGAGTTCTTTGCCCTTCTAGTAGGTTTATATAAAGGGTAGGGTGGAAGAGTTATCTATGTTGTTTTTTATTTTTTTCAAATTTTTTGTGTTAAAATACATATAACATTTAATTTACTATCTTAGCCATTTTAAGTGTACAGTTCAGTGGTTTTAAATACGTTAATTATATTGTGCACCACCATCCATCTCCATAGCTTTTTATCTTATAAAAACTCAAACTCTGTACCCATCAAACAATACCTCCTCATTCTCTTCCCCAGGCCCTGACATCTACCATTCTATTTTCTGTCTCTATGACTTTGATTGCTTTAATTATCTCATGTTAAGTGGAATCATACAGTATTTGTCTTTTTGTGACTGGATTATTTTACTTAGCATAATGCCCTCAAAGTTCATCCATCTTGAAGCATGTGTCAGAATTTCCTTTCTTTTTAAGGCTGAATAATACTATATTGTATGTATATCACATTTTGCTAATCCATTCATGGCAATGGATACTTGGGTTGCTTCCATATTTTAGCTATAGTGAATAATGTTACTATGAGCGTATTTTATATTTTTTATTTAAACATGGGTGTACAAATATCTCTCTGAGACCCTACTTCCAATTCTTTTAAGTATATACAGAAGTAGAATTGCTAGATCATAAAGTAATTATTTTTTAATTTTTGGAGGAATTACCATCCTGTTTTCCACAGTGGCTGGCACCATATTACATTCCCACCAAAAGTGTACAGGGTTTCATTTTTCTACTTTTTTGCCAACACTTGTTATTTTGTTTTTTGATAGTAGCCATCCTAATGCATATGAGGTAGTATCTCATTGTAGTTTTGATTTGCATTTTCCTAATGATAATGATTTGAGCATCTTTTCATGTGCTTATTGGCCATTCATATACAGGTACACCTCGGAGATATTACAGGTTCCATTTCAGACCACGGCAATAAAGCTAATACCAGAAATAAAGCAAGTTACGTGAACTTTTGGTTTCCTAGTACATACAAAAGTTATGTTTGCACTTTACTGTAGTCTGTTAAGTGTACAATAACATTATGTCTAAAAAACAATGCACATAGCTTAATTAAAAAGTACTTCATTTCTAAAAAGTACTAACCATCATCTGAACCTCTTTGAAAAATAGTGCCGTTAGACAGGGTTGACACAAACCTTCAATTTGTAAAAAAAGGGCAGTATCTGCCAAGCACAATAATGAGAAGCACAATAAAATGAGGTATGCCTCTATCTTCTTTGAAAAAATGTGTATTCAAGTCCTGTGCCCATTTTTTATTCTGGTTGTTTGTTTTTTTGTTACTAAGTTTTAGAAGTTCTCTGTGTATTCTGGATATTAATCCCTTATCAGATATATGATTTGTGAATAATTTTTTCCATTCTGTGAGTTAACCTTTTTACCTGTTGATAGTGTCTTTTCATGTACAAAATATCTTCATTTTTATAAAGTCTATTTTATCTACTTTTTTTTTTTTGCCCATGCCTTGGTGTCATATTCAAGAAATTATTGCCAGGTCCAATGTCATGAAGCTTTTGCTGTATGTTTTCTTCTAAGAGTTTTATAGTTTTAGATCTTACATTTAGGTTTTTGATCCATTTCAAGTTCATTTTTGTATGTGATGTTAGATAAAGGCCCAACTTCAATTTTTGCATGTGGATAATCCAATTTTCCCAGAACCAATTGTTGAAAAGACTATCTCATCCCCGTTGACTGGTGTTGACACCTTGTCAAAATCATTTCACCACATATGCAAGGGTTTATTTTTGATGACAGTATAATAGAACAATGCAGTTTCTCCTTATAACTTTTATTATTTTGAATATAGATGTTACTTGAATTGTGCAATTATTACCCAAAGCATGTACAATTTAATGTGTATCTAAAAGCGAAGAAAATACATTTTGACACAGCATCAGGCCAGTAGAGGGCTCTCCAAGTCAGTCAGCAAGAAATGGAATTATCTGGAAGGATATGGAAAAAGGGGCTACTAAAAATATTGGAAGGACTTTAAATTACGTGGAGAATTAAAATATTGTTGAGAAATTTGATTTTAAAATGAAGGCAGTTAATAAAATGGAATATCCTAAGTATTAAATTGTTATGATTACATAAAATAAACTTTTTTCATTAGATAACTATAGAGAGCTAATTAAATGGCAGGAGTTGGAAGAAACAACAAATGTGATAATAAAATATTTCTTTAGCAAGGGAATTTTTACCTTGGATCTATGAGCAACGTTATTTTTAATGCACAGCATTTCTCATATACACATTTGTAGGTTCATAGCTTGTTCATCCTAATTCCATAGCACATTAAATGAAAGAAAGAAAATTATACTTTTATATTGTATATATTTGAGGTTAAATAAAGCAAATTTTCGAAATAACATTCTTTTATGAATTTGTAGATAAAAAACATATTCTTGAGAAGTAATGTCTATCTGCTTATTAAAAACTTTGAATAACCTCACAATCAAGATGACCTGAGGCCTAGAAGTCACCAAGTCTCAGAGGTAGAAAATGAGAACTAGGTCTTTATCCTAAAATCCAAACTTCCAAGATTGTTTTAGTGGTAGAATTGGTTGAACCAAACAATGATTTGTACTTATAATACCTTATACCAAAATTTCAACCTGTGGTTAACAGGACTAAGTGGAAAAAAACAAAATGTGAAGGACTGTTTCCTTGTGTTAAAAACTGAAGAAGAAAGAGATCTCCTTTCCACATACATAGATGTGAATCCTGGAAAAACCAGCTGAATAGTGCTTATTCTTATTATGCTTCATGGATGCATCGTTTCTTGTTTTCTATTTTATCCTATTTCTTTCCGTTTATATAATTTTTTTTCCTATTTTTTTTCCGTTAGCTATATTTTTTCTATTACCAAGGCTTTGGGTTCTAATGAGCATTTTATGTGTGAGTCCCACCTTTACCAATGAGCCCATTCAAGTAAATATAAACGTCCAATGTGTTAAATGCTGGGGCCACAAGAGTGAACAACACTTTCTGTCTTCATGGTCTGGAAGCCCACAGAGGGAGACTATATATGAAAACATGTTTATCCATTTCTTCAAAAATTATTTATGTTTACTATGGATCTAGGTACCTTTTAGCCTCTAGTAGTATAAATGTGGGTGAAGTTGGTTTTTCCTCAGGAGTGTACAATCTAGTGAGGAACACAGATAAACAACAGACAATTGCAGTGTGTTGGAAGTACCCCAGAGACGATCTATGTGAAGTGCTTTGGGAACCCCTGCTAAGAACATATAACTTCCAAAAGTCGGGTCAGGCTTCCTATAGGAAGGGATATCTCATCTGTGAACCAGAAGAACTAAAAGAATTTAGCCAGGTGAAGGAGGTGGAGGAATAGTGTTTGAGGCCTAGTATACTGCACATGAGGAGGCCCGAAGCCAAGAGGAGGAAGTAATGCATTTGGAAAAATACAAATTCTGTATGGATGAGCTATAAAATGAGAGAAGAGCAGTGGTAAGAGATGTGGTTGCAGAGGTAAGCAGGGGTCAAATTGTGTCAAAAGCTTGAGAAGTAAAGGGTCCATCATTCCCACATTTAGAGACAGTTCCAGTTAATGCCTGTGGTACTAGCATAATCTTGCACTCCATAAACTGTACCAGTTTGATTACTCCAGTGGCGTAATAGAGACTGGATTTAAAATGAATGGTATTGGAGGCAGGCAGCCAGTCAGGAGGCTATCTCAGAAGTTTAAAAGTTAAACACATGAATTTGAAAACAGTTTGGTCAGAATGAGAGGAACAGTATTTATTAAATGTGTGCATCCAAGCATGGGCTAGATTAGTGACTTTACTGTAGTGAGAGAGGATAGGAAACATTGATTGGTTTGTACTGTCAGTTGATTGGTTTGTACTGACCAGGTTAGAGACTTACTACATCAGGAATAGGTTTAGAGGGAAATAATGAGTTAAACTTTCATGTTGCAAATTTGGGACTGAGAATGAAGAATGAGGCTGATACTAATGGGAATAGGTCTGAGGGAGAGATTAGAGATTTAGCAATTGTCAGTCTACTGGGGTGGTTGTTAAAGCCTTGGACATGATCAAATGTTGCAGGGAGTGAAGTAAATGGGATCCAGAAGTAAAGACAGGGAACAGTAGTATTTTAGAAGGTAGTAGAAGAGCATGACTTGTGAAGGAGCATGGAGGTGGTGGTGGTGGAGTATTGTCATAGTAATGAAGGGAAGAAAGGCTGTCTCCACAGAGTGAGTGGCTGCGTGACACTCAGAGAAAGTAGATAAAGGCTGAAAAAAATCTTATTAAATGTAGAAATGAAAGCATTCTGACTTCAGACTTTTTCTTTGTTTAATTTTATCTAGAGGTTCAATTGTAGTTTCTCTTGATGCAAAACCCATTTCTGTAGTGCAAATTTGCTCAGACACGAATGGTAGGAAAATGATGTCAGTATAGTTTTAAGTCTCATTGGTTTATACTTGGTCCCCTCCTGCCCAGGCAGGGGAGTTATAATAGTGAGAGTAAAATTAGAATCTTTGGCAGGCTACAGAAAAGACCTAGGCACTCCTACTGCTTTGGCAACATAAGCCTCTATAAGCTTCATTTTAAGAAAATTATGAGTCCCCCTACTTCCTCAACAGGTGCACTTTCTTCTTTAGTGGTTTGGATGCAAGTCCTTTATCAGATGTTCTTTTACAAATATTATCCCCCTCTGTGTGACTTGATAATTGTCTTTTACAGAGGAGAAAATTTTAATGAAGTCTAGCGTATCAGTTGTTTCTTTTATGAGTCATGCCTTAGGTAGTGTTTTCAAAAGTCATTGCTATATCCAAGGTCATATTTTGATGCTGTTTTTAGGCACATACACATTAAGGGTTGTTATATCTTCTTGGAGTATTGACCTTTTTATCATTATGTTATGCTACTCTTGAGCCCTGATAACTTTTCCTGCCCTAAAGTCTGCTTTGTCTGAAATTAATACAGCTACTCCAGCTTTCTTTTGATTAGTGTTAGCATGATATATCTTTCCCATCCCTTTAAATCTACATGTATCTTTTTATTTAAGGTGGGGTTTTTTAAAAATATTTTTTTTATTTTTCAATTACAGTTGACATGTGAGGTGTGATCAAACAATATGGTGAATGTTTAAATAAAAAAAATTTATACAGTAAAAGACACATTGCCATTAATCCCCCTCATAATTCTCCTCCTCACTTCGAACACACTTATTCCCATTGTTCTTGCAACTTTCTGAAGCAGTTCTGAAAGTCCTTTTTTGTGAATGTCTTTAGTTGCGCTGTCATGGCTGCCTCGATGTCCTGAATCATTTTGACTTTGAGGAAGAACCAGAAGTCACATGGTATCAGATCCGGTGAATAAAATGGATGAGGACACACCATAATGTTTTTATCTGACAGAAATTGCTGTACCAGAAGCAATGAGTGACACGGTGTCTTTTCATTGTAATCATAAAATATGGTGTATGCTGCTGCCGAGTATCATCCAATGGAAAGGCAGAGATCTTCAGTATGGGAAGCAGCACATCGAACCTTAGTATCAGTGTGTGACAAGTTTCAACTTGTTCCGTGCAGTCAGTCAGGTGTGAGCAACGGTTGAGAGGTGTGTTTTAATCATCCTTCATCATGACAATGCTCCATGTCGTATGTTGCTTCTGGTATATGGCAATTTCTGTCAGATAAAAATATCACGGTGTGTCCTCATCCCCTTTTTTCACCAAATCTGGTACCATGCGACTTCTCGCTCTTCCCCGAAATCAAAATGATTCAGAACATCGAGGCAGCCACAACAGCACAACTAAAGACACTCACAAAAGAGGACTCCCAGATCTGTTTCAGAAAGTGACAAGAACGACGGGATAAGTGTGTTCAAAGCGAAGGGAAGTATTTTGAGGGAGATTAATGGCAATATGTTTTTTACTCTAATTCATTTTTTAAATTTTGATATTCACTATTTTTTATCATACCTTGTACAATATTAATTTCAGGTGTACAACATAGTGATTAGATATTTATATAACTTATGCGCTAATCACCCCAATAAATCTAGTACCCACCTGACACCATAACATTTATTACAATATTATTGACTCTCTTTCCTATGCTATAGTTTTACATCCCCATTACTATTTTGTAATTACCAATTTGTACTTTTTAATCCCTACCCCTTTTTTACCCATCCCCCTAACCCACTTCCATGCGGCAACCCTCAGAATGTTATCTGTATCTGTAAGTTTGTTTCTGTTTTCTGTGTTCATTTATTTCATTCTTTAGATTCCACATATAAGTGAAATCATGTGGCATTTGTCTTTCTCTGTTGGACTTACTCAACTCAGTACATCACCCTCTAGGTCCATCCATGTTGGTGCAGATGGCAAGATTTCATTATTTTTTATGCCTGAGTAATAGTCTCTTGTGTGTATGTACCACCTCTTTATTCATTCATTGATGGGCACCCAGGTTCCCTCCATATCTTGGCTATTGTACAGCTGCGGTAAGCATGGATGCACATGTCCCTTCAAAGCAGTAGTTTGGATTTCTTTGGAAAATACCAAGAAGTGGGATTAAGTCTGAGTTCTTTAAGGCCTCGTTCAAGTTATATAGAGGCATCTAGATATATATGCATATATATGATGTGTGTGTGTGTGTGTGTGTGTGTATATATATATATATGTATGTATATGTATATACACATACATGCACATACATGCATGCACGCATGAACACACATATGCGCACACACACACATCTATAAAGCCTTTCCATAGCAACTACACATTCAACTATCTTAGTACTTTGCCAGTTTCATTGTGGTTTTTTTGTGTTTTGTTTTTTTTTAAGATTTTTATTGGGGAATTGGGGGAAGGGGAACAGACAAGTTGCTGTCATTTTGTTCTTCAGTCTAGTTGTGGAGGACGTTGCTTCACTGTCCCAAGCTGGCACCATCATTGCGCTCTTCCCGGGTGAGGCAGATCAGTCGCCGGCTTCTGGACGGCCGCTCACTTTGGCTGCTGGCTACACACGGTAGCCCATGGCAACCCACTGCAGCAGGGGCTGCAGCCTACGCCGTCGCCAGCAACTCACGGCAGCCCAGCTCCAGGTTGAGCTGTTGTTCAGCATCTTAGCTGTGGAAGGCAGTGTCACTGGCCCTCATATGTGGGATCCGAACCGGGGCCCTCTGGCATCCCAAGCCAGTTCTTAACCATCGCGCCACTCGGCCGGCCCATCATTGTGTTTTTTGTGTGACAATTTATTAAACTGGTGATGAGCTGGAATTTATGCCATGGCCTGTTTGTTGCTAAACCTGTATGTATTTACTTCTTGTACTGTACCTCATTTCCAGTTTCTTTCCATGTGTTCTAAACAAGTAAGCTTTTAAAGTCTTAACCTTTTTTTTCCTTCCTCAATAGCCACAGTATGAGAACACTTCACTCCAGCCTCCATATTCAGATCAGTCAGTGTGCAATTCCCAGCAAGAGGAACTGGAACAAAAGCTTGCGTCTACTGAAAAAGAGGTTTTACAGCTTAATCAGTTTCTCAAACAAAGAATCAGCCAATTTAGTGAAGAGAAGAAGAAATTGGAGGAAAAGGTAGGTATTTTAAATAAAATTAAATTAGGTCAGCAGCATTCCTTCAACATATAATTTATTTGTCTGTTATCTACTTTATGACAAGTGTTATACCAGGCCATAAATTTGTATTGGAGTAGTTAGTTTTATAGTAACTTTTGAGAAACCCTGTCTACAAAAATCCAGGGATTTTCTTGAGGGATAAAAACACCACTGTATATTATATTTTTCTAATTAATAGGGAAAGCTTTTTAAAGTTAATTGCCTACACTGACATATGATACCAGTAACTTGTTCTCTTTTTCCTTTTGGGGCCTGTTTCTTTGTCATGTTGGGCATGAAGGACTGATGGATGAAATAAAGGTGGTTTTCTTTCATAAGCAAATGACTTAAAGTTGTCTATGCTGAAGCCCCTGATTCAGAATAAGTAGCTAAAAGCCAAATACCTATTTATACTCAATATATCTGTACATCTATTTGATCTTTCTGCCTGTATTAAAATATCTACATATTTCATCTCATTCCTTTATAATATTATTAAAGATAATAATATAGGATACTTGCCAACTCCAATTTACTGAAGAGGTACAGATCCTTAAACTGGTTGTAGATTCTTTCTTGATATACTCAGTTTATTATTATATTAACTGAATCTTCTATTCAAGTGATCTTGAAGCAGGTCACTATGATTTCTGCTGGGAGATTTGGAGCTGTTAGTAGAGAGCTAAAAACTGACCGTGTGTAAGTTAAATTTTTTATCTTTTTTTTTTAGCTGAGCCATCCTGCTACCTGTTGGCAGCTCAGCAGCAGCTCAGCTCGGGCCAGGCATCGACCGCTGTTGCTCACAGCTCAAACTCTTGAGTGAGCTCTTAACCAACTGAGCCACTCGGCCGGCCCCAAATTTTTTATCTTTTGAAAACTGACAAAAATTTTACAAGGTTTCTCTTTCTAGCTGTATGATGTATTTATCTTGGCTAACTTTAAAGTATCTTAAGCACCTGTTTTTCTGTATATTTTGGGAGCTTCATACAATACCACAATTTGGAGAGAGCTAAGGAAATACTTATTGGTCTTACAGATGTGGGAGGGATTAAAATATTTTCTCACCTGACTTGTTAATTAAAAGATTGTGTTAAAATTATGATTCAATGGATACAATTTTAAAATTTATTTTTGTTTTATCTAAATTTTCTCTTTTATTACTTTTGGTGCCCAGTGCTTAATAAAATTGATTTATATACTACCTACCTATTTGACAGCTTCTACTTGGATGTCAAAAGTATTTCAAACTTTTCATGTCCAAAATGCAATTCTTAGTTTGCCTCTGACTGCCCTATTGTTCTGAAATGAAACAACAAAATTTTCTTCAGTGTTCATTATCATATATTCAGTTATGCATGCTAGGAAGTTTACTAAGCCTAATCAAGCTTGTCTCCTAAATATTTATAGACTCTGTCCAACACTACCAGCATGGTTCAAGTTATCATACCTTGGCAAAGCTCTTGTAATAATAGACTCTTCATTGGTGTCTGTGAATCCACTCTTGCCCTATCTGCTCTTTCCCTCCCTTCACTTTTTTTTGTTATTATTGTAATTCTGTGTATTTTATTTATTATATACTTTTAAATTGAAGCATAATTTATATACAGTTTTATGTACAGATTTTGGGTGTTTAGTTTGATAAGTATTGCTAATAGTATATACCCATATAACTACTATCTAAAATGAAACACAGAACATTTCAGTCACCCAAGAAGTTCCCTTGTGCTTCTTTCTCAGTTTCCTTTCTTCCCTGAAACACTTTTTTATCTCACTATAGATTAGTTTTGAGTCTTATTGAACTTTGTATAAATGGAGTCATACATTATGCATTCTTTTTTTTTTTTTTTAGCTGAGCCATCCTGCCACCTGTTGGTAACTCAGCTCGGGCCGGGCATCGAACTGCTGTTGCTCAAGAGCTCGCTGTGTGAGCTCTTAACCAACTGAGTCACTGGGCCAGCCCACATTATGCATTCTTTTGTGTCTGTTTTCTTTCACTCATTGTTTTTGAGACTTATTTATATTGTTGCATGTATTGGTAGTTTATTCTTATCAATTGTTGAGTTACATTTCATTATATAGATATACCACAGTGTATCTACTCTGCCCATGGATATCTGGATTGTTTGCAGTTTGGGGAAATTATAAATAAGGCTGCTGTGAACATTCTTGTACTAGATTCTTTCTATGCATATGTTTTAATTTCTCTTGGATAAATTCCTAAGAGTGGCATTTCTGGGTCATACAGTTCGTAGGATAGATATTTAATTTACAAGAAACTCCCTAAGTTCTTCCAAGTGTTGTAGCTTTTAACACTTCCAGTATTAATGTATGAGAGTTCCAGTTACTCCATAACCTCCCAAATCCATTCTTGATAGTGTGGAGGACTGAACCTTTTAAAAGAAGAACCAGTCATTTCACTTACTTGGTTAAAACCCGTCATTGTCTTTAAACTAAGAATCAAACTCTACCCATAACCTGAAAGACCCTTCCTAATTGTATAGCCTGTGCTCTACCAGTCTCCCTCTGGTACTACACTGTGTGGTACAGTGTCTTACAGTCGTTCATACAGGTCAGGCTTTGTTTCTGGTCTCAGGGTCCTTACCTGGTAAATGCTTGGCTCTCTTCCCCCACTCCCCAGTCACCTATTTATTTTGTCAAGTCTCCACTTAAATATCTTTCCCCTTCAACCCCTCCTTTTATATGCCTAGAGAATTTTGTTCTTTTTCTTCCAGTGCTTAACACAATTTTGAACAATCATTTTCTTACATTTCTCTGTAAGCTCCATGAAGGCAGGGATGTACCTGAATGTGTCACACTGTAGCATATGTGGCCCCAACCATGGTGTGTGGAATGTTAAATGAATGAATGAAAATGATTTCAAGTGATTTTTGCCAAGAGAGAAGAAAAGGGAATGAGGTAACCCCAACAAAGGACTAGGGAAAGAATAGAGAGAGCTATCAAAGATATGAGAGAGGGGGCTGATGGATCAAGTTCCTAAGAAAAATAGGGAAAGGGTGATAACAGACACCAAGATAGAAGAGGTACTCTTAGAAAGGAAGAGGAATAGCATTTTTGTGGAGTGAAGCAATTAAGAATGGAATTGCCTATACCAGGGAAACCTGAGGAAGTGGTGAATGTAGAGGGTAGAGTTTGTGTCAGAGGACATGGAGATGACTTAAGTTCTTGAAGGGAGTGTAGAAGCTAGGAAATAAACTCACTGATAATGCGTCAACTACACAGCACTTTGGGCCCACATGAGGTTGGATTGCATTGTTTTTTTCCGCATTTACTCCCTCAAATCCTCATTAAGACTGATTCTATGAAAGAAAAACATTTAATGTGATGATAATAATAAAAGTTACTTTTTGATGAGCTCTTTCTTTTATGTACCAGACAGCTTGTTAATGTGTATTAAATGCATTTTCTTATTTAATCCTAATCTTTAGAAAACCCTACTAAATATATTCTATACCTATTCCCCCATTTAAAAAAATATGGTGACTGAAGCTTTGAGAAAAGTAGTTGGAGTAATTTGTCCAGTTGCATATAGATAGAAATTGTTGAAAAACTAGGAGTAAAATTCAAGACAATTTCACTCTACAGTTGATGCTCTGGTTCTAATTTTAATGATTTATAAAAACTTCAGAGGAAAACATTTCCTCATTAATTTTGTTCTAATTATTGTATTTAAAATAAAAATAATTTGTTTGTAAACCTCTTCTAAAACAAGGTCCACCTATTGCCTTCTAGGAATGATCTCAGTTTGTATAATACCTCCTTGAATGGAAAGACTTAACTTTTTATAAATATTGTAGAATAGGAAAGATTTATTCATGATACTTCATTTACCTGGAGGTAATTACTGAAGTTCAAACTTCATTAACCTCTGTTAATCTGAAACAACACAAAACTTTGAAATTAAAACAAAATAAAACAAAGAACTCCTCATTAGTGAGCAGGGCTGAAAAAACCAAACACCCAGTGGTTCTGTGTGGTGAACAATTAACAGACGGCAGCCAACAGGAGAGTGCTGGCAGAGATGTGTGATCAGGGCAGCAAGCTTGGCATGCCGGCAGAGAAGGCAGGTGACCGACCGAAGAGAAGGAGGGAAACTAGGACATCTTTGTGTAGTGGAAGACAACATGCCTGACCTATTCCAGTGGCTGCTTTTTGAGGACATCACTGTGTGTCTTACCATTTAATAATTTAATATATTTAAATTTAATAATTTAAATTTAATAATTTAAGTATAAATTAAATAATTTTTAAACATTTAATAATTAAGTATAAATTAGGGAGCATTTAGTAAACATAGGCTGGTTAGTTATGTTTATTTACAGAGTCATTTGCTAAGGCAAGAGCAGGCTTTGTTGATGGGCAATCCTGGAGAATTTATGGGAATCTGGTTATTATTAGTGTGGAAGAGTTGAAAACATTGTCCCTAATGTTTAGTCTGTCAGTTGGTATATAAATCCCAACTCTGTCTCTGTGACTTGTAGTTAAGTTACTAAAGATCTCTGGGCCTCGTATTCAAAAGCGAATTGTATCTTATGACCTTACAGGTCACCCCCAGTGCCAACAGTGTGTGAGTTCGAATAGATCACAAGTTAAATTGTCACACCAACACATTTGCCTTTAATCTTGAGAAAGCCCCAATAAAAATAGGATTCGTCTGTTTTACCCGTTGCTTTTTATCCAAGGTAATAAATGGATCTTAATGTTATTGATAGAATAAATAGATGAAATGAAATGTGATTCATTTTCCAATTGAAGTTTTAGTAAAAGTTGTTATACATTGGACCTGAAAGAAATTGGATAAGGCATGAAAGAAGCTAGATTGTGGACAAGTGTTAGTTTTAATGAAATTTGAAAGAATACTCCAGTATACTACTAATTCCTGGCATATATTTCCCTGGTGAACGTGGGAAAAGACTATAATAATATTTTAGAACCCTGTAAGTTTCTAAAAGAACGTTAAAGTAGAAGACTGTCAATTTAAAGTAAATATGAGTCTGTAGTTTACTTTTTTGGCAACTGTTTGTGTGTATATATTGTTTTTAATTGATCTTAATTATGAAAGAGCTTTGAATATAAGATACTAAATTTAAAGATAGTGTATTACAGGTGGAAAGGTAAAAAAAAATAGTGCATAAAAATCTGAGGTTCAGCCTACACAAATTGGGATTTAGTAGAATCGTGTACTATATATGTTCTATAGTAGGTGCTCAGTTAGCATATTTTATCAGTCCTAAAATGACATTAATGGTAAGACACACCTTTATATTATGTAATTTTTACAAAGGAAATATGGTGCAAGATTAATTATGACACAGTGTCTTAACAATAGTCTTACTTGAGGTATGGATTGGTCTCACTAGTCCTTTTATCAGTTGCCAAGTTTTTGATAATTTTAGTTAGCCATCTTCACTTTGATTACATTGCTTTACTATGTGATAAGTCATTTCTTTGTGAGTTTGTTAGTAACAGAACTACTTTAATTATTTATAGTTATCATCCATTCTTGATTCACATAAAACATTGGATATAGCTTTGCAAGAAATATAAATTGGAGTCATCCCTCCAGAAAATGACTGGCTTCACTGATATAAAAAATATACCCTATAGCTCTGTTTCTGTGTCTTTCTGGGTGTGCAATAACTTTTTTCAGTGCAAATTATAATGTAACATTTTAAAAGATATTTTAAACATCATTTAAACTCAACATAGAGTTTCAGCATATACATACCTAACACTGTTGAAATGTCACCAATATGAACAGCCTTGACCAAATTTACACATGCACAGGCAATATAAACTTCATCATTACTGCTACCTGGCTGACTGCAGTTTATAGAATGCCATCAGTTGTAAAAGAAAACAAAAACTCCAAAAAACTCGATTTCAGTGATATGAAAATTTGAAGAAATGTGAATATTAGAATTGATGGAGTAAGGCATAAATCTTACTTGAGTTGGTGGTGGTATTAACTATAACCAGGAACTGTTGCAGAATTCAGTGATGCCTAAGATTAGAATGTTTGTTGTGTTATTGTGTTTTTAACAACACAAAACCATTGAAGATTCATAACCTTTTTTTTTAAGCTTAAAACCAGAGATAGATACATCAATAGTCTGAAAAAGAGGTGCCAGAAGGAATCTGAACAAAACAAAGAAAAGCAGAGAAGAATTGAGACCTTGGAAAAGTATCTGGCTGATCTTCCAACTCTAGATGATGTACAGAGTCAGAGTCTACAGGTAACATGAAATAAAATGCTTATCTTTAAATGACATGAAAACTTGAAATCTAAGTTGATGTTTTAGAAATTTCTTAATTTTTTTTTAGAGTTTATTAGGTATGCCTTTATTTTTTAATATTTTTATTAAAATATAGGTAACATGCAATATTATATTAGTTTGAGGTATACACCATAGTTGGTCAACATTTATATACCTAAAAAAGTAATCACTGTAATAAGTCCAGGAACCATCTGATATGGTACCACGCTATTACAATAATATTGACTATATTCCCTATGCTGTATATTACATCCCCATTGCTTATTTGTTTTAAACCTGGAGATTTGAACCTCTTACTCCCCTTGCCCTTCCCCCCTCCCTGTTTTTTTAAAATTTTTCAATTTCAGTTAACATTCAATATTATTTTATATTAATTTCAGGTGTACAGTATAGTGGTTAGACATTTATATAATTTAAGAAGTGATACCCCTGACTAGTGTAGTACCCCCTTGGCACTATGCATAGTTATTACCATATTATTGACTATATTCCCTCTGCTTTGCTTTACATCCCCATGACTATTTTGTAACTACCAATTTGTACTTCTTAATCTCTTCACCTTTTTCACCCTGCCCCCAACACCCTCCTATCTGTGATTCTTATAAATCTAGTACCCATCTGACACCGTATGTAGTTATAATAATATTTCTTATTCTCTATGCTACATCCCCATGACTTTTGTAACAAATAATTTGTACTTCTTAATCTCTTCCCCTTTTAACCAGCGCCCCCCCCCCCCCCCCCCCCACTTGCCATCCTCCTCTCCTCTGGCAACCATCAAAATGTTCTCTGTATCTATGAGTTTGTTTCTGTTTTGTTTATTTTGTTCTTTAGATTCCATGTATATACAAAAATCACATTGCATATGTCTTTCTCTGTCTGATATCCTCCACTCAGCATAGTGCCCTCCAGGTCCATCCATGCTGCCACAGATGGCAAGAACCCATTCCCTTTCATGATTGAGCAATATTCTACTGCATATATGCACCAACTCCTCTTTATCCATTCATCCATTGACAGATACCCAGGTGTCCTCCACATTTTGTCCATTTTAGACAATGCTGCAGTGAACATATGGATGGATGCACACATCTCCTCAAAGTAGCATTTGGGTTTCTTTATATAAATATCCGAAAGTGGGATTACTGGGTCCTTCTTTGTCTTTTGTTATAGCCTTTGTTTTAAAGTCTGTTTTGTCTGGTATAAGTATTGCTACCACAGCTTTGTTTTTGTTTTTGTTTTTTCATTTCCATTTTCATGAAATATCTTTTTCCATCCCTTTATTTTCCATCTCTGTGTGTCTTTCAATCTGAAGTGAGTCTCTTGTAAGCAGCATATGTTTTATTATCCATTCAGCCACCTACCTTTTGACTGGAGCATTTAATCCATTTACATTGAAAGTAATTGTTGCTAGGTGTGTAGTTATTGCCATTTTATTCATATTTTTTATCTTTTTGTCTTAAAGAAATCCCTCTAACAATTTTTATAATTTTAAAGTTTAGTTATATATTTGGCTAATTACAGGTTGAATCTGTGTGTTTGATTGCTGTTTTTAGGATTAACTTTAATTAGAAACTTTGTTAATCAAAGCATGAATAGATCTTTCTTATTGTTAATTAATATGTGATTACCTTCCTAATGAACATGTATGTTAATTGTGTCACTTAATGTTCTCATGGAATCTACTTGAAAGGTAGTTTCTAAACCAGCCTGATACCCCACCCCCATACACACACAAGCATGCCCCACAGTTCTGACTTTTCCCAGTGTTCTGTGGGATCCACCAAGGAAGGCTTAACAAGACCTTTTTTGACTATCGTTCCAGATATTTGATTTGTTCATTTTTCTTAACTTTTTCATAAAGTTTCTTATATTTTACTCTATGACCTCCATTTACTCCTCCACTTTTCTGACCTTTTTCATTTCTTAATGTCATCCAAAGTCTTTCTGTCAACTCTGTGAGACCTGCCCTCTTGAAATCTTATTTATAAACCCATTAAATGTGCTCTTCAGTTCTTCTCAAAGTCTTTCTTATCATAGGATTTTCAACCTCTGCACTATTGACATTTGGGGGTGGATAATTTTTTGTTATGGAATTCTGTCCTGTACATTAAAGAATACTTACAGCATTTCTGGCCTCTGTCTACTAGATACCAATGGTACTGCTCTGCATCTCCCCTGTCACACCCCAGAAATTGTCAAATGTGCCCTGGGGCGGATATTGCTCCCAGTTGAAGATCATTGGTCTAATCCATGGAGTGTCATTATTATGCAGCTCTAAACCTACAGCACATTCTCTGTGTAATTTATAAATTGTAAAACTAAGAGAGGGTAACATCGGGAAGGAACTAAAGAAGGAGCACAGGAGTTTGCATGGGCAAGAAAAGTGAGGAATATAGATTAAAAAACATGCATTCATACCACCTTACACCCATCAGGATGGCTGATATCATAAAAACAGAAGGTAACAAGTTTTGGCAATGATGAGAAGAAATCAGAATCCTTATGCACTTAGTGGGAATGTAAAATGGTGTACCACTATGGGAAATCATATGACAGTTCATCAAAAAATTAAAAATAGAATTACCGTATGATCCTTCAATTCCACTTCTGGGTATATACCCAAAAGAATTAAAGTCAGGGTTTCAAACAGATGTTTGTGCATGATGCATGTTCATAACAGCATTATTTGCAGTAATCAAAAGGTGGAGACAACCCAGTGTCCATCAACAAATGATGTGGCATGTGAGTATACATACAATTCAACCTAAAAAAGGAAGGAAATTCTGATATATGCTGTAACATGGATGAACCTGGGAAGTTTTCTAAATGAAACAATCCAGTCATGAAAAGATAAATACTGTATGAGGTACATATAGCAGTCAAATTCCTGGAGACATAATGTCAAAGGGTGTTAGCCAGGGGTTGAGGGGAGAGGTGGGTGGGGAGTTGTTAATGGGTGTGGAGTTTGTTTTGCAAGATGAAGAGTTCTAGTGATTAGTTGTACAACAATGTGAATGTACTTAACACTACTGAAGTGTACACTTAAAATGGTTAAGATAGGGCCAGCTGAGTGGCTCAGTTGGTTAAGAGCTCGCTCAAAGGTTTGAGCTCTGAGCAGCAGCAGTTCGAGTCCAGCCTGAGCTGAGCTGCTGCTGAGCTGCCAACAGGTGGCAGGATGGCTCAGCTAAAAAAAAAACAAAAAACATTAAGGTAGTCAATTTAATGTATGTATATTTTAACACAATTAAAGAAATAGCCCAAATTAAGAGCATTCATCTTTCTGTGTCTGTTTTCTAGAAAATTTTGACCCTATTCTCCTCTTCTCCAGAATTCCATTTTTCCAACTCCCTTTACACGAAGGAACTGAGAAAACATTATCAAATAGGTGAAATTAAGACAGTGTGATTTTAACCATAGTCTGTTAATCCTTGAGAACACAGTAACAATTTTTAGTAGAAACACATTTAATAGTCCATGTTTTATGAACGTTAGAAAATGTTTCCTTAGCTGCAGGTTCTAGAAGAAAAAAATAAGAATTTGCAAGAGACTCTGATAGATATGGAAAACCAGGTTGAAGAGATCAAAAAACAGTGTCAGGAGAAAGAGGCACAGTTAATATGCCAGAAAAAGAAAGAAAAGGAGTTGGTAACTACAGTTCAAAGGTAAGAAAACCTTCAGTAATTCTTTTATGTTATTTTTAAGTTTTTCATTTTTTTCATAAACTTTTCAATTAAGATATGTTAATTTATAATTATTACTCTGTTATTGTTATCTTAAAGATGTACTATTAAAAACCAGTAGTATTGTGCCATTGAAACAGGTTGTCTCAGTTTAACATTTCAATGCAGTATACATCTTGCCAAAGGTTTAACATATTTTTTGGAAACTATCTGATGGCTTTGTTAAAATATAAGAAAAAATTTTAAATAGTAAAAAAATGTAATAATAATAAATAGTAAAATCTAAATAATAAAATAAACTGTACTGCTTAATGAGATATGTCAAAGTGAAGTAAATTAATACAGTTAGAATTATAGTGAATATCATTTTTTAGTTTATTTATCTAAAATATTTAAAGTAGGAAATTATCGGATTCCTGGAAAGCCTGGAGAACTATATTATATATGCATGCACATGTACTCTCTGTTTTGTAAAACTTAATAGATTATCAACCACAGGTACATCAAACTATCCTAAAGAATAAGACAACAAAGCAACAAAACAACAAAATTTAAGAAATACATTCTTTATGCTTATATAAATTATGTATAACTGAGTACTGTCAGCTGTTTAATCAAAATTCATCTGATAATTCCATGTTAATATTGCTTTACTACTACTTTCAAAATCTTAAATATGCCTGGTCTTCTTTTCTTCCTTGGATTTTAGTGCAGATAATTCTAATTTCTGGGACAATTCAGTCTTCAGTGTTTCTAACGTCAGCCCCCCAAATTCATCTACTTTTGAGTCCACCTTTATTTTCCTATTTTCTGTTTTCTTGCTCTTTAATTTCCCCTTTTATAACTCACCTTATATCCTCCTATTCTTTAGTCTCAAAAAAAGATTTCTGACCTCCGTTAATTCAACCATGTATCTTTTTCTTTCATCTTATTGATAAAATGAAAAGAGGTAACGTATCTGTTCTGTTTTATAGGGCATTATGATCATAAACTCAATCTGTGGTGTTTCATGAATACAGAATTAGGAACACCTGAAAATAATTTGAATGTTTGTTTTAGTTCCATTGTGTGCTTTTACATATTTAATATATTTTATACCTACTCTTTTATTTAGATTTTCTCTTTTAGATTTTTGGACAACATTGAGCCTAGTATTGATTGGAAAGTTTTAGTATAGTGCATTTCAGAATGCCTTTTCCATTCCTTAACTTGATCTCAATACTCTCTGAGAGGATATTATCGCAGAAAACTTCTCTTGATTTCAAATAAATGTAAAGGAACAAAGAAGGTCTTCTATAATTCTTTAATGCTTGTATGCGTATGGTGTCATTTGACTTTGGGGTAGGGATGTTATTTCAGTTTTCTCAGCTATATGTTATAGTATTCCTTAAGTTCCAGAAGAACTTCAGATGTAATGAATTACATTACAGTTTTCTGTTTTTATATAATATTAAATTTCCTGTCTTATGAATACATAAGAATTTTGGGGATCTAAAACTGAAATAAGAAAAGTTTTCCATTAGAAATGAAAATGTAAGTAAATACATGGATGGGGTCCCTATAATGCAATAGGTACCTTTGCTGTTCAAGAGATTTATTACTTTTCTAAGTGAGCATGCTTTATAACATAAATAAAATGAAAATGGATACCTGAAAGAAGACTTACTTGGTATTTTTTCTTAACAACACATTTTTCCCTCCCTCCTCATAGCTGGCTCATTTTTCTAAATATGAAAGACCTTAATAGTTTTAATGTAATTTATTTCTGTTAGAATGTTGCAAGTACATAATCGTGTCTTGACACTGAATTAGGAAAAAACTTATTCTGAAATAGAAATAATGTATTTTTCACTTTTAGATTGAAAAAGCAAACTTTTTTATGACAAGTAATATTTTATTACAAAGCAGTATACTACATTCGTAATACATAAAAACTCCTCTGGTGCCATTCGTTACCAGCACATCTGAAGCCCTGATTGTATCAGAACTGTCAGTTCTTTGTCCACAATGTAGATATTATACTTCTTCTTTTCTTTTGGATGACAGAGAAAGTACAGGTTAGCCATAATACTTGGAAGAAGAAAAGTAATGAAAATAGGCAAAACCCAAATAAGACAGAATCTATTTCTTTTAGTACTCTGTGACTTGAGTATGATCACAGGCTAAAGCAGAGCTATTCCTAGGTGTGCCCTCCTGTTATGTTTTGATTTTGGTTATTATTGTAAATGGTATATATAGCTCCTTTTAACCCAAACATGACTGTTCTTTCTTTCTCAAGGCTAATACCTTTCCCCCACTTTATCATTTTATTCTTAATGTACCACAGGGGCTTCCTTTTGTTTCATCTTCTAAAATGCAGCTCCGTGCCATGGATAGCATGAGAAACTGTTGTCAAGTAATAAATAAATCCATTAGATTGCTGCTCTTACTAATGAAAGAGAAATGTAATTCTGCTGGATTAGGCAACAACTGTCTTTACAAACAAACTTTTGCTGAGCTCAGAATGAAGGGCAAAGATATATATTCATATTCTTAGGCTGCCTATCACAGTCATCTTAACCTAGGAACTCTGCTTTTAGGAGAGCGGGAAGGAAGAGGGCTTAGATTTCAGAGCTCTGGGATTTTACTCAGGCCTAAGGATGTCACATACTAAGCAATTCGTGACTCTGGTCTCAAATTTGTCATTTCTGAAAAGATGATCAGCCTCCATTATATTTCTTATTTGTATGAAATATAGGTATTCAAACTTATTCATATACTGTCTGTAGGTTTTCATTGCTTGGTTAAATAAGAAGGAGCTTCATTCTATGTTGAAGTCTACTAAAGTTAGCACATAGAGCTTATTTTCTTCATATAATGTCTTTCTAAAACAAAACAGCTTGCAGCAGAAAGTAGAAAGATGCCTTGAAGATGGCATCCGCCTTCCTATGTTAGATGCAAAGCAGCTTCAGAATGAAAATGACAACCTGAGAGAACAAAATGAGAATGCTAGTAAGGTCAGTACATATCTTTGATAATAAATGTGAAATCTATACTATGTGGATATGTGTTTATCGATAATTTATAGTTATTTAATTTATATTTTGATAATATTTAATAGCTCATGGAATTTTTAGTTTGAATATTTTATTTAGCAAGAAAATAGCAATTTAAGTACTTTTTTTTTTTTTAGCTGAGCCATCCTGCCACCTGTTGGCAGCTCAGCGGCTGCTCAACTCGGGCCAGGACTCGAACCGCTGTTGCTCAGAGCTCAAACTCTTGAGCAAGCTCTTAACCAACTGAGCCACTCGGCCAGCCTTAAGTACATTTAAATAAAAGCCAAACTAAGGAAATTATATTATTTCTTAATAAAAACAGAAGGATACCTTTTAGTTCCTAAATTATTTAAAGTCTGTTTCAAAGTTATATTTATAAATTGCATTACTTAAAGAACATTTTTATCAGGAAGTAGAGGAAACTTTTACATATGTGTGATTTAAGTCTATGTAAAGGATACTTGGTGTGAATAATTTTATTTTTAAAAATTACACCCTGATTTAAAAAAAAAATAAATTCATAATTCCCTGTGATTTTCTTCCTTTTCTTGAAATATTGGTACTTTTAAAAAACAATGGAAAAATTATTTGACTCAGACTGATATATTTCCTGTGTTTTAGATAATAGACAGCCAACAAGATGAGATTGACAGAATGATGTTAGAAATTCAGGTAAGGAATGTTTTGTGCTTATTTTAATTTAGCTATATGCCGATTTACTTTTAATGGTTAAATAACCTAAAAATATTAAAGCATATATGTATTTGTATGAAAAGATTAATAGCATTTGAGATGTCGTTGCAAATTCTTTAATATTAATATTTCAGTTTTTTAGAATGAAAATACTATTCAGTAAATCAGTTCTTCAAAAAATTGTGAAGATTGTTCTCTATTCCTTACTGGTCCTCTTTTTAATTGATTGTAGTCTATAGCTACTACTGAGAACACAGTCGGTTAAGCTTGATCTAAAGACAGTGGACTGTTTTTAACTCATTATGACTGCAAGAACCCTCTCCCTCCTAAGAATTTTATGTATTATTCTGTGTTACCAAAGCATAACACTTTATTTACATATTTGTGTCTTTACCTCCTACTTAGTTTCTTGAGAGTGGAGACTGTGGTAGATGATCTACATGTCCAGACTTGAGAATGTCTGACCCATAATACACAATCCAAAATTCATGGAGTAAATGGATTTTTATTCTCTTACTGAGTTGCTGTAATTACTGAGTACCTTCATATGTGCTAGGCACTGGGGATGTATCAGTGAACAAAGCAAGCTCCTGGCCAATAGAGTGGAGTGAAATGGAGAAAATGGAAATATATCAGTGATACATGCTATTTAAAAAAAAAAGAGGGTAATGATAATGTTGCATTAGGTATAGTGTGTGGGTCTGCTGAATTGATTCACAGAGGTTATTCTTTAGTGTGTGTTCCTACAGACATAACTTCAGTTGTTCTACAAGCCATTCAAACCACAAGATGGTTAGTTTTCCTCACCATTATTATCTGACTTACAGACTGTAATGAAAAGAATTTCTATTTCACGTGGTTACATTTTCTGAGAAGTAAATCTAGTAAAAGTTATCTCAATACAAATTAATGACAGTCAATATTGTCCTTTGGCACTGAAATTTTGGTGGATAAGACTTGTAAGATTTTGTTTATTTACCACATACTATTTCTCATATTATAGATGTTCAGGATATATTTGTATTAGTTGAAATGTGCATTTTTCTCATTTGTGGAGGCATCTTAATGGAATTTTAACACATTAGCCATGTCTTTTAGTCATTTTAGGTATGTCATGACCATATATACAGAACAATATGAAATTATATGCCCTTTCATTCTTTGATCTAAAATGCTTGAGTAAACATTCTTTTATTTCTTCAGAGTAATTAGAGAATGTGAGTTAAATTAGTGAGATGCATTTATTTCCAAAAATGTTTGTTCCCAGGTAATAAAATATGTTCATTAACTCTGTTGTCTTGTGAAGCAGTGGCTGTCTCTCTCTTTTTTTTTTTTTTGTCTTAGCCATTCTGGCCATCTAGGTCTATAGATCTAGTATATAGTTTGCTCAGAGAGACAGACAAATGTTGATAGCTGTCCAACTTAGTTTTATTTATCAAGATATTATTTGAACAGAAAACTATAGGTGAAGACAAATATGTCTCAGCGAGAAATTTTTTCACTTAACATTACTTATTTAAACTTATTTTATGACCGCTCACAGTTGAAAAAACTGTTATTTGGTGCTTTGTGATGAGTATAAAAGGTGTGTACGAGGTCTGACGACTAAATTTGTGAGCTTGCCACCATGTGCGCTTACATTGGCAGCACTGTACAAACAGCTCAGTAGGGTTTCATAACCTTGGTATGTCATGTCTCACAGCTGTGTTCTTGTCGACATGTGGCGGTGTCTTGCTGGGTGACGTTCATTATTGTTGAGTGTTTTTGTGTGCCGTCGCAAGAATGTCTGAGCTTGAATTAGAGCAATGAACAAACATTAAATTTTTTGTTAAACTTGGCAAGAGTGGAAGTGAAATCAGGGACATGTTAGTCCAAGTTTATGGGGATGATGCCATGAAGAAAATGGCAGTGTACAAATGGATTAAAGGTTATTAGCGGAGAGAACACGTCACTGATGAAGAGAGGTCAGGGCGGCCAGTAACGAGCAGAACTGACAAAAACATTGCAAAAATTCATTGAACTGTGTGTCAAAATCATCGGCTGACTGTGAGAAGCGTAGCAGACCAAGTAAACATCGAAACAGTTTAGTAAAGAAACAGTTAGGAAAATCTTAACTGAAAATCTTGGCATGAGGAAGGTGTGTGCAAAAATGGTCCCGAAGGAGCTCTTGCATCACGACAATGCACCAGCTCACACAGCACTGTCTGTGAGGAGTATTAGCCAGTAAACAAGTAACTGTGTTAGAACACCCTCCCTACTCACCTGAACTGTTTTTTAATATGATTATGCATTTTAGTTCTCAGTATAGTATTAAATTTATTGTAAAATTTCACTGCCATTATAGTTTGCATGTTCTTTGTTCCTCCATAGTGCTGGGAGGTTGTTCTATTTTAGTGTTTAATAGACAATGCAAACTTAGTATTATTAGATTTTCATGTTTTACTATTGCTTTATGTCCCTTGAGACTGTTGAGGAGATGCAATTTATTAAAAGTTTATTTGGCTGATTTGGAGTATTGCATTGCCTTGGGTACAGCAGGTTCTTTTTACAGTTTAAATTTGGTCACAAAAGAGAAAACATCCCTTGCCATGTTGATTGTATGTCCAATTTATAGGAGATAATAATAAGGCGGTTACACAGTAAAAATGCTATATTTAAAATACAGCTATAGTTTACCACCTTGCACCAGAAGTCAAATAAATTCTTATCTGGTTTAGGCCAGTGGCAAGTTTATTACTTCACAACTTTGGAAGTGGGGGAGAAATCAGTCTTCTACTTGTTATATTGTATTTATTATTAAATATAGAAAAAGTAGTACTTTCTATGTAAAAGTGTATGCTGATTTCGAAATTGATTTCAGTGCTATAAAAATACAGCTGTATCTACTATTTTGTTCAGCTGTCAAGATGATATTGTTAAATGGCTTGAAAACCTTGTTTACTCATTGATCCTTTAGAAATACTGACTTTCTTTACATCCATGAAATCAGTATAACTAAACTGGCTTCTTTTACAGGTTTTTCTTCTGTCACTATACAATATAAAAAGACATTTTGCATAGAATATTCCCCATCATTTCCATAAACATTGCTGCACTCAGAATGTGAATGAGTTCTTTGAGCATTAACTTCCTTTTTATTCCTCAAAAGCACATTTCACCTACATAATAAGCCTGTCTCCAGTGAGCTGTTATCATTGTAATCTTTTGGCAGAGGCGATAAAGAGTAAAAAAGTTTGTTATGTTTACTTGTTTTTTCTAACATATTAAAATGTTTCTTTATTGAAAGAACTTAGGCATTTTAAATGGCCTTTCTGAATTGATAGCGATCAATAAATGATCATAATATCACAAAAGACAGAATGATGCTTTAAAGGCTATTAAGACTGTTCACTCTTAAGTGAATGGTTAGAAACACCAATCTCAAAACTGACAGTCTGTCCTATTTATAACACTTCAAGAGAAGATGTTTCCAAAGTCTGGAAGATTTTATTCCAGTTTTTAGTAAATCTCTCTTAAAGCCTTCATATAGCAAGTTTCTTCAATAGAAATAATGGGAACATGGATCAGAAGTCAGTAGAATGTCTTATAGGTAGAATAGAATTTTTATTTAGCCTAAATATATATTTAGCCTAAATATATATTGATTAGTGCTTCTCATTATTGTTTGATATTTATCTCCTATTTTTGTTATCCTAGTTTTGTGATATATCCTAAATATTTCTTTCTTCCTAAATTTTTTTTAATTTTTAAAGTTTTACCAACACAAAATTGCTTTATAATGCATGAAAAACTAAAAATATTCTTATCAGAAATTAGTACTAATTTTTGAAAAACCTAGCAGCCAAAAAAATATCTTCTATCAAAGGAAAAATAGCTTTTAGAAAAATAAACTTTCTCTAGTTTGTATTTATAAAGAGAACAGTCTTTAATGTACATGTAAGCCTGTTGAATGCACATCATACTGGGTTGTCAGAAAAGTCATGATGCATTTTTTCTATATTTTTCATTGCAAAAATGCGTCATGACTTTTCCGACAGCCCAATAGTTGTTGCTTAATTAAAATGTTAGAAAAATATGTAATAGGTAGATTTAACTTTTGAAAAATCAGTTCTTTGTGTTTAAGGTAGGGAGTTGCAGGAAGGTAGTCAGCTCACTTGAATCATGAAAGAATATTCTTGAGCTTGTGTTGTGAGTGGTCACCAAACCTGTATGGATATTCACATTATTTGGGATGTTTTTAAAATATAATTCCTGGGCTCCATTATGAACCTGATGAATCAGTATCTCTGGGGTGAAGCGCGAAGTATGTTTTCTTAGCAAGTTCCCAGGCAGTTCTTGCCTATAGCCTGGCAGTAGTCCTGGCCCTGGCTGGATCTTGGCTTGCCTCTCCATTGCAGAACCCCTGCCCCAGAAGCCAACACAGGGCGATCAGGGCCCCAGGATTCCCAGTGGTACTGCACCTGAGGTAAATCCTCCATCCCATGAGGGGGCCTGAGCACAAGAAGGGAGCCCCACCTTTTACTGTACTTGCCTGGAACTTGGCCTCAACTACAGGTACTGAGGGCGGGATGAGAAATGCTGATGTTCTGCCCCTCTTGCGAAGATAGTTCTCCAACCGGAAGCTGGGTGGAACTTCCATCTTGCTGAACTGTGAGAGTGAGGATGGAGTGGCTTTTGTTTCAGATATCATAGATTTAAGCTGTTCTCACAGAGTTTTGGTAGATTTCTTGGATATATATGTTTCTTCATTTGCTGTATGCCCTTAGGACTATTTCCAGAAACTTTAAATGTGTTTTTTTTTATGTAATTTTCACTAGGGAGAGAGTCTGAGGAGCTCGTGGAGCATGTGTGCTATGATACTGGAGGCAGAACTCTCAGATTGTTTTCAAAGTTATATCTTGTAGCAAGATGATAGTTAATGAAGGAATTTGAGCTGTACAAATATGACTACTTATGGCTCATGGGATTTGTGAATAGGC